TTGCAAACACAGAGGTAGCCAATTTAACCAGAGCTCTTCCTCAACTAGTTAAATCAGTGAAAACAAGGACTGAAACATTTGCGTGCTCAGAGAAGCTCAAACAGAGGGAGGCCCTCGGTCTGTATCCTGAAGCTTCTTTACCCATCAAGGAAATGAATCCAAACAAGGTAACTAAGAATTTAGGAGCTGCTCAAACTATCTCAAAAACACACCTCTGTTAAGTCTTTTAGAATATAATTGCTTTTGTTGCTCATATATATATATATATGGCTTAACTACCTCGGTTAGATAACTTCAAACTGTAGTTTGACATCAACAAATTACAGAGCCTCCTAACTGCCTGAAAAGTTCATGGCATGTGGCAGAAGCAAGAATGAGATACGATGGCTGACAGTGATGTAGGAAAAGAGAAAATAAGCAGTAGACTTAAAAAACAGAAAGAAAGAAAAAACTGACTTTAGGGTAATTCACTGTAGAAGATGCTATTCTGATTGTACCCCGAAAGTCAAGCTCTAACATAGGTAAACACAAAATAGTTTAGATTTATTATAATAACAGCAAGTTATTCTAATGTAGAATGTTGTTATATTTTTTATATCCATGTTCAATATTAGTTCCATCATGCAACTGACATTGAAACTGATTTATTTACTCAGCCAGATGCAAGGCAATGCAAACGTAAAGATAAAAAGACAAACAGTGGATTTTGAAGAACTCATCCTGGTAGGTGAAGATAAACATAGGAAAAAAATATTTGCATGCAATGCACAACATATGTCCTGGGAGAAACAGAGACAGGCTGTGACAGGAGCCTCCAGAGGTTGGAGGACCCATGCTACTGATCTCAGGAAAAATAACCCCCATCAGGACAGACTGCCATTATGCAGTCTGCCATTATGCAGAGATACCACTGGGTGGAGGCTAGACTTCCAGGCACACAGGCCAGGAAGGCAGGCATCCTGTAGGCCAGTGGTGCAAAGGGCATGAAAGGCTTGTGGAATAAATCCCATTGCTTTAGTGAGAACAGTGTGTGGGCGGTGGCATGGAGCAAGAACACTGTATTCTTAGAAGCAGTTGGCAAGGTATACACACGATTACACGCGTATAGGCAGATCCGGGTGCATGGCAAGCATTTAGGACAGAAACTGAATGAGAAGGCAAACCTTTCTTCTGGTGTATTCTCAGCAACCTTAGCACAGCAAACCATGGTTATATGTCACACATTCAAAATCTTCCAGACTGAAGTCTTTACCATAAGTTAGACTCCACTTCATTGTACTCCTCAGAAACTCTCCAGAATTTGCAATTTTAGCATTTAATCATTTATTATTAATCCTTAAGCATCAGCTGCTCTCTACCATCAAGTGGCCATCTGACTGGACTTGTGCATTTTCTACTCAATTAGAGATAGTGAATTCTTAGGAGCAACTATTTCTCCTAAATTCTCTTATGTCTCATAAAACCAAGCATTTAGCTAGGTGTGGACAAACTGATTATATTTCATATGAAGATTAAATCTTACCAGTGTGGTTAGTGAAACTGCCAGAGCTGTTTTCTAACAGCAAAGACTACATTCAGAGCCTTAAAATACCATGGTAGATAGCTTGACCTTATAGCAGCAGCGAGCAAACTCAGCCTGTCTACATTTCAAATCAACCTGACATTTACATTTTTATTATCATTATTATTGTGAAGACTAGGGAGTGGCCTTTAGTATCTAAATATGTGCAAGTGATAGGAGCTTTTCATTTCTTATCATTGTCTAGTGAGACTGCATATATGGTTACTGGAAGGTGGAAAATGCATCTATTTAAGTACAGAGGAAAGATTTGTGTTCCTAGGGGAACAATTGCATTCTGCCTCACACAACCATTCATAATCTCACCACAGATTTAGATTGTGACTAATATTTGACTCTAATATTATCAGTGCTTACCGTGGAGGGACTCTGTAAGGGTACAATTGTCATTTCCTTGGAAAAATTTAATACACAGATGGATTCCAACACCCAACAGCACGGCTGTCCAAAACTAAAGGGGACTTTTGCTAAATAAGGATTGATTCAGCCAAAAAAGATATATTCTGACAGGGGAAATCTGTATTGTGCATAGTTCCAAAAATCATATTTACCCAAGCACTGAATTCTTTGGAACACTAGAATTTTCCTAACTGGGACACAGTGAAAAAGCCACTTATTAATTACATATAGTTATATTTTTTATCAGATGAAGCAATTGAGTTAATCAATGCCTATTATGCATCTACCAAGCTTTAGTTACTTAAATTTAATTATTCATGTTTTCTGAGCTAAAGACATATAATTAAGGTAAAAATCGGCTTCAAGAAAGAAACCTTACTGCACACCAATTCCTTAGGAGCTAGGGTGTGTGGAGTGAGTGTGATGTTGACCAGAAAGTCTAGAATGTATATAAATGCTTGCTACAGCCCATCACTAAATTTATCCAACCAGCCATAATCTTATAGCTTATATTCATTTCTTTAAAGATTTTCCTATCCAATGAAACTATCTCGGGCTGTGGTCTATTGGGTTTTCTTATAAGAGACTATTAAAGTGAAACAATTTCAATCTAAATTCCAGAAAAATGGTATCCCCTTTGGTGACTAATTTTCAAAAAGAAATTATTACCTGGAAAAAAAAAAAAAGTGTTACCTGTCTGACCTCAGGAGGTTGGGAAAATTCTTAGCAGCTGCACAGATTAAATCACAGTAAAGAGGAGAACACATACAAAGGACTGACTTCCTCTTCCTAGTCAGTCTTAATAGGGTTTGTTTCTTAGCCTTCTCTGGCATGTTTCTTAGAAGAAATCCATGAGGAAAGACATTTCAGGAGAAGCTCTGCAAGGGAGCCAGCTCTCACGCATCCTCTCTCTCTCCGTGGTCTAAAAAGTCACCTATGTTCAACTTCTTTTAGTTTCAGACTACTGTCTGGCTTCCTGTACATTCATGTATTTCGCAGAGGTAATTTCAAGCTGTTTAAATATTCATGCATAACTCTGTATATATGAAAGTGCTAAGTCTCTCTCCTATTAGATACATTTCCAGTGCAGCTCTTTAAAGGGCAAGACAGTAACCGCTTGGCGCGGTGTGCGGTGCAACTTCCACACACGGAGAAGAGCAGTGCTTTTGGCTATCAGAGACGCCACAGCACCTGCACAACTTATTGCAAGCCCTTTTCATTTCAGTATCGCATTCCGGGCTCAGAAAAGAGATTCATTTAGTAACGCAGGCTTAAGTCTGTATCTGCAAAACCCAAGCGTATTTCACCAGCACCTCCTAGGGGTGATGTGAGGGTATGAGAATAGGACGCGGGTACCCGAGCGGACCTCGCCTGGAATCCTCGGTTTCACCTCGCCCACACACAAAAATCCACCTTGCTGTTCCTCTGCAACAGGAGCTATTTGTCACAGCATTTTGGCGACGCCAGGAGGCCTTTTAATGGTTTAAACTGCACGAGAGATGCTTTTGATGGGTGGAGGAAATGAACGTTAAAATCGCACCCAGGCGGATTCTAAACCCTGGAAGACTGCTAAAAGTGACATGTCCTTTAAGAGCAAAGTTTGAATTATAACATCAGAGTACTCACATATAGATTCGGGTATCTATATATCTATATATCTATATATAGATATATAGATATATACACTTCTTCCTCAATACATGCACGCGCGCCCTAACCTCCCCACCCCCACACGCACACAAACACGAATTAATGTATAAAGTTCCAGGATCCAGACCAGGTTCACAGGGAAGTCGATATAGGCTTTAAAGGGTCGACATGCTCTTGCCTGGTTGCTGGGGAGGAGGGTTGGAGGCGCTGGTGGGAGGGCAGCGCAGAGTGTCTGTAGGAGTTGCTGTTCTAGAGAATTCATTACTCTCTAATTGCGCTGATTTTAGATCAGCAGAGCGTGTCGGGCGGTGGTGGAGAAAAAAGATCGAAGGCGGACAACGCCACAGGGAATGAGCCGTTCACACTTTGTAAGTAGTTCAGGAACATTTGGGAGGAAAAAAAAAAAAAAAAAAAGCCAAGCGGCTAAGCGGCTAAGCAGTAGCCACACAGGCGCGCGCCTACGCCCGCTGGGTTCTGCGCGCAGCCCGGATCCCCTTCCCCATTAATTCGCGGCTCCTCCGCACACCGCCCGTCTTGCAGGGGGGTCGGGGGTCGTGGGGCGACGCGCCCGGGCTGAAATGCAGTTCTCCCCGCTGGACAGGTCAGCCCCGGGCCGGCCGCCGCGCGGGCCCCTCCGGGAGCAGGCACGCACGGCCGGCGGCGCGGAGCCCGCGGGAAGCGTGGGGCTCGGAGCGCGTGAGGAAGCGTTGCCCAAGGCCAGGCAGCAATTAGGCGGCCGCAGCAGGCCGCCGCAGCCCTGCCCACCTGCTGCTGGCCCAGCTGGGCGCCACTTCCTCCTCTCCCGCGGCCGGGGCGGACTCCGGAGCCGGCGGGCCGGGCGGCGAGGGGAGGAAGCGGCGGCAGGTTCTCC